AGTCCTCAACTTACAATCAGAATCAGAATTTCCATGGTTAAGCAAGTTGGTTGTTCAGTGAATTGGGCCTAATTTTTAACCTTCTTTTTTTTTTTTTCTGGCCACAGTTGTTAAGCGAATCACTACAGCTGCAACTGTCAAGTGTTGACGTTGTTGAAGGGCAGGAAGGTCACAACCGCAATCATGTGACCCTGGGATGCTGCAACCGTCATACCTACAAGGCAGAGGCCCAGCACTTAAATTTTGATCGTGTCATCCTGCGGATAACGGGACGGTTGTTTTAAACTGCGGGGACTGCTCAGCGGTCACTCCCCCCCCCCCAGTGCTGTCGTAACTTTGAATGGCCACGATATGAATGGTTGTAAATTGAGGACTGCCCGCACTGATGAATATGTCCATGAGGATTCGGTCATCCAGGCCAAAGGTATCTGAAAGGTTGAATCATGGCAAAAGGGACCGAAATTTGTTACTCTGAGGAAATCTCGTTGCCCATCCAAGCAACTCGGTCAATTTTTTTTTAAAAAAAATGGTATAATGCAATATATCAGGGGTATCAAACTGGATTTCTTCGAGGGCCAGATCGACATTGTAGTCCTCCTCCACGGCTGAGGGGTGGGGGTAGAGGAAGATGGGACGGACGCTTCCTGTAGCACCCTGTCACCCAAAACGGGGCAAAAGGGGGGCATGCCTTGGCCCCTAGTGCCTCATTTTAGCTGGCAGGGTGCTGCAGGAGGCCGACCAGGCTGAAAACAGGGCATACGGGGCCGCACCCCGTTTTGGCTGCCAGAGGTACTGCGGGCCGGCCCTTTGCTATTTCCAGGCTGGCCCGCGGGCCAGATTTAAGCACCTTGTGGGCCGCATCCGGCCCGCCGGACTTGAGTTTTGACACCCCTGAAATATATCAATGGAGACTCAATCATCCAGGCCAGTGGTCCCCAACTTTTGTGGCTGGGGGGTGGGCGATAGAGGGGAAATGGGATGCGTGAGTGGTGGGCTTGCGTGCATGCGCGCATCTCCAATCACGCAAGAGAGAAGCCTTTGGGGCATGGTTTCGCGCTTCCTCGGGCTTCTCGGCACCAAAACGCTTTTTCAAAGGCCTGAAGCAGTGCGAATTCGTTTCTCCCGGAGCCTTTTATCCGTTTGCAAAAGCTTTCGGGGCGGAGAAACCTTTGGGAGCACGGCCTTGGGCTCCTGGCAACTCACCGAGGCTGCCCGATGCTCCGAAAGCAGATCAGGTGTCCTACAGAAGCAATCTCGGTGACTCCACAATGCTGAGCAGGGCATGCTCGTCCCGTTCAGCCTCTGCACTCATTGCTCTGGTTTTGGAACATTGGGAGCAGGTGGCTTGGCGGCCCGTCTGCGGTGGAGGAAGAGGGGAATCGAGCCGTGCGAGCGGCGGAGTAGCGTACATGCGCGCAGCTCCGCTCACGGAAGAGAGAAGGGTTCGGAGCACAGCTCATGAGAGTGGAGCTTTGCGCACGCCCCGGCCTGCCCCTTGAGCAGCCTGGTAGCGGGCTGCGGCCCAGGGGTTGGGGAGCCCCAATCCAGGCCAAAGGTTTCTAAAATTACCTAACTTTTTGTTTTTCTTTTAATTTGGACCGACAAAGTTGCTCGGAGGAGCAGTGAAATATGGTTCCACCACAAAACCACGTTCGACTAAAGGGCGCTTGACGAAACCGCGTAGCTGACGTCATCACAGCGCGACAACAGCGCAGAGAAAAAAGCACGCTGTAAACGCTAAACCTAAAATTAACCCCTAAACCTAAATCTAACCCCCCTAAACCTAATCATAAACCTAACCCTAAACCTAACCCT